CTCCCCCTCGCCTCGCTCGCCTCTCCTCTCCTCTCCTCTCCTCTCCTCTCCTCTCTCTCTCTCTCTCCTCTCCTCTCCTCTCCCTCCTTCCTCTCCTCTCCTCTCCTCTCCTCTCTCCTCTCCTCTCTCTCCTCTCTCCTCTCCTCTCCTCGCCTCTCCTCTCCTCTCCTCTCCTCTCCTCTCCTCTCCTCTCCTCTCCTCCTTCTCTCCTGTTTCCTGTGCTCCCTTCTCCTCTTCTCTCGTGCCGTCTGCGATCTGCGCAACTGTCGGCACTTTCGTGGGCTCCTGGGAGGCCCAGCGGAGGTACGTCATACGCAGATCACCACTATAGCTCGCGGTGCCCTGGGGGTCTGCGATATGCGCAACTGTCGGCACTTTCGTGTGCTCCTGGGAGGCCCAGCTGAGGTACGTCATACGCAGATCACCACCATAGCTCGCGGTGCCCTGGGGGGCTGCGATCTGCGAAACTGTCGGCACTTTTGTGGGCTCCTGGGAGGCCCAGCGGAGGTACGTCATACGCAGATCCCCACCGTAGCTCGCGTTGCCCTGGGGGTCTGCGATATGCGCAACTGTCGGCACTTTGGTGGGCTCCTGGGAGGCACAGCGGAGGTACGTCATACGCAGATCACCACTGTAGCTCGCTGTGCCCGGGGGGCTGCGATATGCGAAACTGTCGGCTCTTTCGTGGGCTCCTGGGAGGCCCAGCGGAGGTACGTCATACACAGATCACCACTATACCTCGCGTTGCCCTCGGGGGCTGCGATAGGCGAAACTGTCGGCACTTTCGTGGGCTCCTGGGAGGCCCAGCGGAGGCGTCAGACGCAGATCACCACTCTAGCTCGCGGTGCCCTGGGGTGCTGCGGTTTGCGAAACTGTCGGCACTTTCGTGAGCTCCTGGGAGGCCCAGCGGAGGTACGTCATACGCAGATCACCACTATAGCTCGCGGGGCCCTGGGGGGCTACGATCTGCGAAACTGTCGGCACTTTAGTGGGCTCCTGGGAGGCCCAGCGGAGGTACGTCATACGCAGATCACCACTGTAGCTCGAGGTGCCCTGGGGGGCTGCGATCTGCGAAACTGTCGGCACTTTCGTGGGCTCCTGGGAGGCCCAGCGGAGGTACGTCATATGCAGATCACGACTATAGCTCGCGGTGCCCTGGGGGGCTGCGATATGCGAAACTGTCGGCACTTTCGTGGGCTCCTGGGAGGCCCAGCGGAGGTACGTCGGATCACCACTCTAGCTCGCGGTGCCCTGGGGTGCTGCGGTTTGCGAAACTGTCGGCACTTTCGTGGGCTCCTTGGAGGCCCAGCGGAGGTACGTCGTACGCAGATCACCACTATAGCTCGCGGTGCCCTGGGGTGCTGCGGTTTGCGAAACTGTCGGCACTTTCATGGGCTCTTGGGAGGCCCAGCTGAGGTACGTCATACGCAGATCACCATTCTAGCTCGCGGTGCCCTGGGGGGCCTGCGGTGTGCGAAACTGTCGGCACTTTAGTGGGCTCCTGGGAGGCCCAGCGGAGGTACGTCATACGCAGATCACCACTGTAGCTCGCGGTGCCCTGGGGGCCCTCGTCGTCCTCGCCGTCGCGTTCGTGGTCGTGGGCGGCCTTGCCACTCCCGCCGATCGGCGAGCTGCGAGCCAGAGTGGGCGACGGGGGAGCGGCTGCGGTCGGCGCGGCCAGGAGGGTGCCTAGCTGGGGTGCCCCTAGAGGCGCCGGGCACCCTGGCTCTCGAGAGCGAACGGTGCGCGCGGCGCGCATCGCGCCGATAATAGAAGCATGGGCAGCATGTCCCAGTGGGTGTGTTCGCATGCGTCCCCCACACCCGTGTCGGCACACCCTTCGCGCGTTTCGTGGCCTCATAGGGAGCTCCACCGAAGGTCCCAGTGGGTGTGCCCGCATGCTTCGCCCACATCAATCTTTGGCACACCACTTACACGTTTCGTGGCCCCATACGGAGCTCCACCGAAGGTCCCAGTGGGTGTGCCCGCATGCGTCCTCCGCGCCCATGTCGGCACACAACTTCTACGTTTCGTGGTCCCAGAGGGAGCTCCACCGAAGGCTTCAGTGGCACCACCCGCATGCGGTTCCTCCACGCAGTGCAGCGTTTCGTGGCCCCATAGGGAGTTCCACCGAAGGCCCCAGTGGCACCGCCCGCGTGCGTCTCCCCCACCCAATACAGCGCTTCGTGGCTCCATGGGGAGCTCCACCGAAGGCTCCAGTGGCACCGCCTGGGTGCGTCTCCACCACCCATCACGGCATGCCCCTCACGAGTTTCGTGGCCCACTGGGAGCGGCACCCACAACGCGTTACTCACAACTGCATATGGTTGGGTTTTTCGGCAGGATAATTTTGGAAGGAGGTCGACGTTCGCGCGTGTAGAGACGCGCGCCTGTGGCCAGTGTGGTATGGATTGACAAAATTGGTGGGCCCGTGTTGGTGGATGACTGTATTCGGGATGCGCGCGCGTGTGGCCCGCATAGTCCCATCTGGCAGAACTGTCAAACCCGTATTTTTTTTTGGTGGTTCCAGCGGGTGCGAGGGCGCAGAGTTCTGGCACACTTTTCGTTGGAAGGCCGTTTTTTGTGTTTCAGTTTTCGAATAACTACGTGTTGAACTGGTCGAGAATCGTTCGCATTTGAATCATTGAAACATGCGCGCGCGGCCGCGTGCGCAAGTGCCCGCACCATTTTCGGTGTGCGAGGAAATTCCGGTACCATTTTTTGAAGACCAATGCGCTCCACGCAGTGTTCTTTCCACGAGATGGCGGGGGGTGTCGATACCGGCTTGGCTGGGCTGATACTAGCTGATCCTTAAGGTGAACGACCGTGCGTACTGGATACGAACGAAACAAATATTACGTGAGGGGAGGGGGGGCGAGGGTCGATAGGCGTGTGTCTCGATTTTAGGCGGGGGTAGGGGGGTATAATATTTTAATTTTCCAAGGAGAAGGAGTAGTAGGTGCAATTAACTGGGGGCATCCGTGCGTGGCCACCTCCCGTGCGAAATTGCTCGCAAATTTTGCGCCGACGCAATGACGTGCGGACCTTGCTCGTGTAGATCTATGACACGGGTGGGCGCATCATGATGGTGACGACGACATCTGGGATAACGACGATGATGTTGATGGCGATGATGGTGGCGATGATGGTGGCGGTGATGCCGAGGGCGACGACAACGACGATGACGATGACTACGATGGTGATGAAGATGCTGGCAATGATGAAGATGATGGTCAGGATGATGATGACGATGATGATGATGATGATGATGATGATGATGATGATGATGATGACGATGATGATGATGATGATGATTACGATTATGATGTGATGATGCTGATGATGGTGAGGATGATGATGGTGATGGTGGTGATGATGATGATGACGATGGCAATGACGACGCTGGCGATAATGATTACAATGATGCTGACGACAATGACGAGGAAGTGCGTGGCCGCAGAAACTCTGACACACTTCTGGTATATCAAACTTCTTTTGACATACTGATATGTCTATATATACATATAACAATATATATATATATATATATATATATAACCTTTCTATGTTTACCACCTCTATGTGTGAAGTGATGAGAACACCACTGGCTTTGCAATGATTCCGACATGCGCCCGCGGGGATGTGCGCGTATGGCCCGCATGCTGCGTTCTTGGGCAGAACGGGAAGAACATCATCGGCATACTGCAGTTTGTCTACAACCATTTGGGAGCCAATGGTTTTGAATGTCTTCGATACGTGCGCTCGCGTTTGACCCGCATGCCGTTAGATGATGCAATGGGGGCTCTTACAATGCACGCTTGTTAGATCAGCGCGCGTGCCCCGCATAGTCTTATTTAACTGAGATGATTGGGAGGTCGATACCGGCTTCCTGCGCATGGTATTATTTGAAAATGGGAAGTGACAATCGTGCGTAATAGGTGTGGACATGAAACGCGAAAAGTCGGACCGTCAACTCCAGCCTCGGCACGAGGTCAGGGCGAGTTCTCTGCAGAGACGAGATCCTTTGGGCTGCAGGCCATTTGGCGCATCCTGTGTGGTGCAGGCTGTGTGCTGCAGCCCATGGCACGGGAATGCCAGCCATCGCACGAGGCCAGGCACGAGGCGGGCACGGGCGGGCGTCGGGAAAGGGTCTGCAAACGTCAACCATCGGCGGCGAGCGAAGGGGGGGAAGTGAGAAGGGGCGGGCCTTCTCAGAAAGCTCGGAAGTCCTTCGGCCTTCTGAGAAGTCTTTCGAGCCCTTCCCGAAGACACAGAGAGCACCTCTCGGAGCCCCGCCGCCTTCTGAGAGGGCCTCCTCCCTCTGGAGACAGATGCCCACCCCGGGCGCTGGTCTCGGCGGCATCCGGTGGGGGGGGAATGACAAGGGGAAGGCCCTCGCAGAAGGCGGCGGGGCTTCTCAGAAGCCCGCCGGCCTTCTGAGAGGCTTTCGGCGTCTTCGGGGAAGGCTTGAAAGACAAATTCCCAGAGGGCCAGGGGCCTTCCGAGCCCTTCTGAGAAGGTCCGCCCCCGCCTCGCTTCCCCCCCCCCTCGCTCGCTGCCGAAGGAGGGGGGTGATGATTGCGGGGGGGAGCGGACATCACGGCCGGGGCCAGGATGCCTCCCCCGATGTCATGGCCCCACCTCTTGCTGCGAAGGCCTCACGGCCAGTGCCGTCGACCCTGAAGGGGGACGACGACGACGACGACGAAGACGACGACGCCGACGACGACGCTGACCCCACCTCTTGTTTCAATACGTCCCTTGGCCCCCCCCCCGGGGGCCGCGCACGTGCCTCGGGCCCCGAGTTGCGAGCTCCCCTCTTGGACGCCCCCCCCTTCGGCGCCCCCGGAAAGGGCAGAGAGCAATCCACGCAGGAGCGAGGCGAGAGCCCCCCTTCGTGCGAGCGCTGTGCTCGGGGGAGGCAGTGGAAAACATCCCGGATCCGGGGGCTCCTCCTCCTCCTCCTCCTCCTCCTCCTCCTCCTCCTCCTCCTCTGCGTCCGAGGATGAGGACATCACCATCAACATGGCCAAGTCCAAGGGCGTGTCCAACGTGCGGGAGAAGACGTCCACGGGCGTGGAAGCCCCTCCGCCTGCCATGCCCATGGGCATCGACGACTTCCTGGGCCACATGGACACGGACGAGATGCTCGAGGTTCAGGAGGAACCAAAAAAACACAGACACAATTGATCGTCGATTCCCCAGAAACTATGGGAAAATATGGGAAGTATGGGGGGAAGACAAAACCCAGAAAATATGGGGAAATCTGGGGAATCCTGTTATTTTTGTGTGTATATATATATATGTGTGTGTGTGTGTGTGTCCCAGGGCCCCTTCAGAGGTGACGCCTGGCCCAATCCGGCTCCTGAAGAAGAACTCCAAGGCTCTCAAGGTGCGGTGAGCCACTTGGTGGCGACCAGCGCTGGCGCCCGCCCGCTCACTCCCGCGTCCGCCTGCTCCGCCACCTCCTCTTCCTCCTCCTCCTTCGCCTCCTCCTCCTTCTCCTGTTTCCCTTCCCTCGTCCTCGTCGTCGTCCTTCTCGTCGTCCTCGTCCTCGTCCTCGTCGTTGTCGTCGTCGTCGTCGTCGTCGTCGTCGTTCTCGTCCTCGTCCTCGTCCTTGTCCTCGTCCTCGTCCTCGTCCTCTCGTCCCCCTCCTTCTCCTCTTCCTTCCTCGTTGTCCTCCTCCCCCTCCTCGTCCTCCGCCTCCTCCTCTGCCAAGGAACGTGTGCTCCTCCCTCCTCCTCCTCCTCCTCCTCCTACTCCTCCTCCTCCTCCTCCTCCTCCTCCTCCTCCTCCTCCTCCTCCTCTTCGTCCCCTCCTCGTTTTCCCTCGCCTTCCTCCTTCTCCCTCCCATTCCCCCCTCCCCTCCCTCGCCCTCTTCCGTCCTCCTGTGAGCGGAATAATCTACGCAGTGGCCTTGCACAACATTTTCGCTGCAAGGGGGGCCCCCGGCGCTCGCTCCGCCTCTCGGTCCCCCCGGGGTGGGCCGAGACCCTCCCGGAGAGCGGGGAGTGAGCTGCTTTCCTCCGTGCAGCCCGGCCAGCAATTGGGGGTTGGGCAGGGGATCGGATCGGATCGGATGAAGGCTCATAGTCAGCCTGCGGAGCGCACAGGAGTGAAGCGCAGGCGGCGTGACACGTGGGGAGGGGGCGGAGGGAGGGAGGAACTCGTCGTCCTCCGCCACCTACTCTTCCTTCTCCTTCTGCTCCCCCTCCTTGCGTGGGCTTGCATTCATGTGCACTCGTGAAGGCACCCTGATGCCCAGCTCGGCGGCACGCTGCTTGCTGCTCGCCGTGAGTCTGGATTCGCCTCCAACGCGCCTGAACCTTAACCTCCCTCTCTCCAACGCGCCTTAGCTTTAACCTTTCCCTCCTCCCCCCTTCCTGCCTTTCCAGTCCTCCTCCTCCTTCTGCTCCTCTTCCTCCTCATAATCATCATCACCATTACCATTACCATTACCACCACCACCACCACCACCACCACCACCACCACCACCATCATCATCATCATCATCATCATCATCATCATCATCATCATCATCATCATCATCATCATCATCATCATCATCATCATCATCATCATCATCATCATCATCATCATCGTCATCGTCATCGTCATCGTCATCGTCATCGTCATCGTCATCGTCATCGTCATCACCACCACCATCACCATCATCACAATCATCATCATCATCAAAACAGTCAGCATCAACACCATTATCAATATCATTATCATCATCATTATCATCACCATCATCGTCATCGTCATCGTTAAAACCATCGTCATCGTCATCGTCATCTTCATCAGCATCGTCATCACCACCACCATCACCATCATCGTCAACGTCATCATCAGCTTCATCACTCATTGTCACCATCATCATCACTTATCATCAGCATATTCGCCATCATCATCAACAGCGTCATTTTCTGCACCATCATTTTTATCATCACCATCAGCATCATCACCATCATCATCAGCATCATCATAATCGTCATGATTATCATATCACCATCATCATCAGCACCATCATCCTCCTCAACACCATCTTCGCCATCATCATCATCATCACCATCATCATCACCACCATTATCATCATCATCATCGTCATCGTCCTCGTGCTTGTTATCGTCATCATCAGCATCATCATCATCATTATCATCAATATCATTATCATCAGCATCATCATCAGCATCAGCATCATCATCATCACCATCATCAGTATCATCACTGACACCATCATCATCGTCATCATCACCACCATCAGCATCATCATCACCATCGACAACAACATCATCAGCATCATCATCAGCATCAGCATCATCAGCATCAGCATCAGCATCAGCATCAGCTTCAGCATCAGCATGGGTGTCAGCGTCAGCATCATCATCATCATCATCATCAGCATCATCATCTTCATTATCACCATCATCATCATCATCACCACCACCATCACCATCACCATCACCATCACCATCACCATCACCATCACCATCACCATCACCATCACCATCACCATCACCATCACCATCACCATCACATCATCACCATCACCATCCATCACATCACCATCACCATCACCATCACCATCACCATCACCATCACCATCACCATCACCATCACCATCACCATCACCATCACCATCACCATCACCATCACCATCACCATCACCATCACCATCACCGTCACCGTCACCGTCACCATCACCCTCCTCCTCCTCATCATCATCAGCACCATCCTTCTCCTCCCCCTCCTCCTCCTCCTCCTCCTCCTCCTCCTCCTTCATCCCCCCAGAGATCAAGTCCTCGGGCGCCGGGGAACGGGGGACCCAGAGAGTGCGGACGGAACATGAGCAGGAGGGGTGAGGGTGATTGTGCAGGCGGAGGGGGAGGGGAACGGGGAGAGGGACTCTGGAGGAGGAGGAGGAGGAGGAGGAGGAGGAGGAGGAGGAGGAGGAAGAGGGAGCGCGAGGCTAGGGGATTGAGACTCGAGGAGAGAGAGGCGCGAGGCAGGAGGAGGGAAGAGGGCGCAGCGAGGGTGGGCAGAGGGCGGGAGGTCGGCGGGAACCGAGGCCAATGGCTCCGAGATTGTAGCATTCGGCTGCCGGTCTCGCAAAGCCGTGGATTTTCCTGGCCGCCAAGAGGGCAGCGGAGCTGCGCCCTCTCAAAGATTTTATTCTCGGCGCTCGCGCGCCCACGTTTTGTTTCTCCGGTGCCAGGCTCGCATCCTACTTCGATCTCCCTCTCTCCCTCTCTCTCTCTTTATCTTCCTCCGTTTTTTGTCCTCTCTCTCTCTCTCTCTTTCCCTCTAGGTAACATATATATATATATGTATATATATATATATATATATATATATATATATATATAAAAATATTTGACAGAGCGTGTTCTACCGCTGCTGGCGGAAACCGGGGGGGTCACTGGGGGGTCCCAACCCGTCCCCCCCCCTCCTCGAAAACCGGGAGGGGCCACTACGGTTTCGACCCCCCCCCCAGTCCATCATGAAAAGGGGGGGGGGGGTCATTACCAGTTCGACCCCCCCCCCCTCGCCGCCGGCAAACGATTCCCGCTCCTCGGGACAGTTGGACAGTGGTGGGCATACGGGGACGGTGGTGGGGGCAGTGGTGTGGAGACAGTGGGACAGTAGTGCGGACAGTGGTGGGGACGGTAGTGGTGGGGACAGTGGTGAAGGCGGTGGTGAGGACGGTGGTGGGACAGTGGTACAGTGGGGAGAGTGGTGGGGACAGTGGGACAGTGGTGGGGACAGTGGGACAGTGGTGGGGACGGTAGTGGTGGGGACAATGGTGAAGGCGGTGGTGAGGACGGTGGAGGGACAGTGGTACAGTGGGGAGAGTGGTGGGGACAGTGGGGACAGTGGGACAGTGGTGGGGACAGTGGGGACAGTGGGACAGCACAGTGGGACAGCGGCGGGGACAGTGGGGACAGTGGGAAAGTGGTGGGAACAGTGTGTACAGTTGGACAGTGTGTGGGGACCGTGGGGGAAGTGGGGAGAGCGAGACCGTGGTGGGACAAAGGTGGGGAGAGTGGGGACAGTGAGACACTGGTGGGGGCACTGGTGGGGGCAGCGGGGACAATGGTGGGAACAGTGGGGACGGTGGGACAGTGGTGGGGACTGTGGGACAGAGGTGGGGACGGTGGTGGTGGGGACAGTGGTGTGGGGACAGTGGGAATGTGGTGGACAGTAGGACAGTGGTGGGGACAGTGGTGGTGGGGACAGTGGTGAGGGCGGTGGCGAGGACGGTGGTGGGACAATGGGACAGAGGTACAGTGGTGGGGACAGTGGGGACAGTGGGGGGACAATGGGACAGAGGTACAGTGAGGGCAGTGGTGGGGGCAGTGGGTGGGAACAGTGGGACAGCTCAGTGGGACAGCGTGGTAGGGGCACTGGTGGGGGCAGTGGGGACGGTGGTGGGAAAAGTGGGGACAGTGGTGGTGTGGACGGTGGTGCTGGGGACAGCGGTGATGGATGTGGTGCGGACGGTGGTAGGGACCCGGGAGTCGTTTGCCGGCGGTGAGGGCGGGGGTTCGAACCGGTAGTGACCCCCCCCGGTTTTCTGGAGGGGGGGGGTTCGAACCAGTAGTGACCCCCCCGGTTTTCTGGACGGGGGGGGGGTTCGAACCGGTAGTGCCCCCCCCCGCGGTTTTCGGGAGGGAGGGGGGGGGCGTTCGAACCGGCCGGTAGTGACCCCTCCTGGTTTTCCGGAGGGGGGGTGGGGAGGGGTTAGGGTGGGGGGGGGTTCCAGCAGAGGGGGGTATTTTCGAGGGGGCGGGGGACCCCCGGGTTCCGGAGGAAGAGGGGGGGGAATCTTCCACAGTAAAGCGGCGGTGGCTCACGCTCTCTGGAATATTTTGTGTATGTGTTACTCTTCCTATATCTTTATAAGCCCGGGCGGGGGGAAAACCCGTCCCCCCCCCAACAAAAAAACCGGACTCCCGGGATTTGGGGCTTTGGGGCCCTCCGGACGGGCCTCGAAGCGGCCACCAGGCCTCGCAAGGCGTTTTGCCAAGCCTTCCCAGCACACTTAGGGCGATCATGGGGGTCATCGGAGACGTCCCAGAGACCCCCAAGACAGCACAAGAGCTCAAACAGTGACCGACGTGTCCTCAAGATGACCCAAGAGGCCTCCAGGACGGCCCCAAAGAGGCCTCCAAGAGCACTCCCAAGAAGGCCCCCCGAGGCGAAAATCATTGATTTTCTGTTGGTTTTTGGTGAATTTTGGGGTTCTCCTCTTTTCGGCTTCCCAACGCTCCAAGACGGCGGTCTTCTGGGCGTCCGAAGCCGCCTGGGAGGCTCCCAAATCGCCCCACAACCATCCGAAAGGGCTTCCAGGCAGTCCAAGAGAGCCCCAAAACGGCACAACACGGGTCTAAGATGGCCCTCAGAGAGCCCCATGGCGGCCCAAGATGGCCCAAAGACACCCTCCGAAGAATTCCAAATCGTCATTCGGTCGTTCAGGGAGACGGCGGTTGGAGGCAGGGTGGCCCGAGGAAGCCCCCAGAGGCCCCCAGAATACGCCCAGGAGGCCTCCAGAAGGCCTTAAGAAAGTCCGAAACAACTTTTGTGAGGCCCCTAGAGGCTCTCGGACGGAAGAGGCTTCGCGCGGCCCGCTTAGCTTCGACCGGAAGAGGTGCGCCCTCGACCCGCGAATCCCCCAAAAAAGTCTGTGAGCTCTCTTCCTCTCTCCTCCTCTCTCTTCATCTCTCTCTCCCTCTCTCTCTCTCTCTTTCTCTCTCCCTCTCCCTCTCTCTCTCTCTCTTGGCCCTCCGCGGCTGGTCGGACCCGCGTGCGCCAGACACGGGCGCGAGGGAGCCACCGCGTGCACGTCCGCGCGGGAGCCCCGCGCGGCCGGCGCT